AAGAAAATTATATTGTTTAGGAAATTCCCTGTAAAGTATAATAATTGAAAGATCAAAAGTATTCATTATCGAAATGAAGAGATCAAGGAGAGAAATGACTTCAGCCAAAGATTGCGTAACAAACGTTAAAAATGTTCCCCTAAATAATTGCTCCAATTAAAACACTATTTTATATCAAAATATTTGATAATAGTTCGATGCTCACTGGTTTGCTAAATACGTTCACCTTTGTGCCACATCTAATCTACGCTTAGAAAATCATTTAAGCGCACTTCGACATGGTGTAATGGTTAGCCAGATCAATTACGATTGAGTAATTAATTCGATCTTCACGGGTTGCTCCCTACTTTCGGCCTTGTGCCACATCTAAACTTCATTTAGAAAATCATTTAAGATCTCTTCGACGTCGTGTAACGGTTTGCAATCTTTTCTGGCTAGCTCAATCACGACTGAGCAGCCCATTCGATCCTCAATGTGATCCTAACACTTTCGGCCTTATGCTGCATCTAACCTGCGTTTAGAAAAAGATGAGAAGTGTGGAGTATATCTGCCATATCATGCGTCACATAATCTTGATTAGTTCCAATCGGATTGGTTATCAATGGCTGAAGGCCTATCGGAACGTTCTTGGTTGCCAGATCAAAACTTCCACTACTATCTATAGCGAGCCAATTCGCAAACAGCTATGACAATATTTCCATAAACAGTATCTATAGAAATCGTTCCATAAACAGCATCTATGATTTCTGCCGTTTGTACAGGGTTTTGTTTTTCATTCCGGAAATACCAGTGAATCAAATGACGAAAATACATCTCTTCGTGGAAAAAGCATTGTGTTTTCAACTAGGATATTCCTAAATTATGAATTACATGTATGCTGTTGAGAAATGTTTAAATTGTTTAGAAATCCTGGAGGTGTTATTCAAATGAATAAATTCCACGAAAAGATTAAACACAAACTAAAAATCTGTGAAGTTATTTATAAAAAAAAAAAAATTGAAACAAAGCCTTAATAAAATTAATTATGAATACTCAACAAACATTTTAAAATGTGTACAATAGATAGTCGCTAAATTTCAATGTCCGTACTAATAGTTCTTTCCTCTATTTTTTGACGACTCAAGTCGAAAAATCTGCTATAACAATACATAGTTACCTCCCCCTAATCGGTTCTCGCTAGCCACACCAGGACACAACAAATTTTGTCTTCCACAACCATGAACATTACAATATTTATCCTATAATTAAAAATACACTGATGTTGACATTATTCTATGTCGAAAGTACTCGGGAATAAATACAATATGAACCAACACGGCGTTTCCCTCTCGTCTTTCAATAAACACACAAAAAGCTTATTCAGAGTATTAAAGGATCCTATCGAGAAAAAGTCGACAGAACATTTTAAAATTATTTAACGAAATCTGCCTCAGAGGCGACAGGCTTTTACATACTAGACGCAATCGTCGACCTGACGAATGCGTCTAGCATGGAACAACCTGTCGCATTTGAGTGTTGACTTCAATGTTCACTTTTCTATTTATATACGCGCTATCTCTGATATTGAGCACTTTATCCCATAAATATAGTAGACCTTCAAACTATACTTCTTCATTCATATATATATATTAGGTGGTTGCCCCAAGACATTGACCGACAGATCTTATCGGTGGAGAAACGAACAAATTAAAAAGGTGATTACTGATGCATCTACCACAGTCATCCGGTCGAGCAACCAGGATCTATGAAGGAGAGCATATGATGTTGAATTTTTCAGGGCAAAAAGAAATAAGTAAAAGGAATTGAAAAATCTAGTCTCCCATCTTCAGCTTCAGAATGTCAGCTAAAAGCGCATTAAAAAAAATCAATTCAAATCCCCTGAACAAATTGCATGAACTGCACGTCGCTCATATCTAATAGCCTTCCCCAACAGCGCTAAGCAGATAATAATATAGGAGCTGAGCGTGACTTGGAAAGTGTTCATGATACTCGTTAACGGACGGCAACGTGATAACCGCCAACAACTGGCCGAAAAGTGTCAACAAAACGAATGACAAACATACTACGAACCAATCAAGATATGATGTACAGGATTTGTAGGACAATCTTTGTGCAATGACTTAACAAAAATTGGAATCAAAGGATTAGCGAAAAGGAATGCTCTGAAAATGTTTGAAACTGCTTAAAATCCACTAGATGGATATGGCTCAAAAGATCTCAAACACGGAATCAAGCAGGATAGGAATATCAATGAGAAAATCACAGAGCTATTAAAAAAATCAAAGAGGAAAAACGAACAGCAAAACAAACTGTATTTCGATGTTTATGAAAAAAATATTATTTAATTTAAATAACCGAGCCAAAATTCACCAAGAAGACGTAATTTATAGAGAAAAAATATCCAAGTATATTTTTTTTAAATACTGTCGAGCTAGCGCGATATTCTATCTCGTCCAATGTAATACGATAAACTACGTCCAACAGCAACGCCTCTGATCAGAAGGTTTTGAAGAACGTGGGCCCACCTCTTAAATGCTGGTGTTCCCAGGCCCACCCTGACCCAGAGTGGTAGCATGTGTCACGGTCCCAACTATGGGCAAATAGTTAACCCCCAAACTGGAGTCCAGACACTATTAAAGTGTAAAAATCGTTTTTAATACTGGCAATAATTTTTTTGTGGAAGAATTACTATCGGCAATACATCTTTCAAGAAAAAAAATATTGCCAGCAATATATTTTGAGGAAAATAAATATTACCAGCAATACATTTTTGAGAAAAAATATTACCAGCAATACATTTTTGAGAAAAAATATTACCAGCCATATAATTTAAAGAAAAAAATATTTTCAGCAATACATTTTTGGAATAAATATTACCAGCAATAAAAATCTTTTCTACATTAAATAAGCCATTGCGCTTGAAATGCTGTAAAACAAAACAAAACAAACCAAACAATGGGTCTATCACGCCTGCATCAAATTCGGAAAACCGTTAGGTTAACTAAAACCCGAGAGTCAAAGCTTGACGCAACCGACACTTGGATGCTGAGAGCTATACTTAACATCTTGGAGACAACATCCAATTAAATAGCATCTGTATAGAACAATCCCTGATATTTCTATAATCTTACGCGAAGGTGGAACGCGCTTTGCAGAACACAGTTAGTGAACAAAACAAGAACTTGTAAGTGATCTATTGCTTTGGACAGCTACCCATGAAGCAAAACATGTTGGTCACTCGGTAGCCACCTATATTGACCAGTTATATTATGACACAGAATTTCCACCCTAAACATAAGTATACAAGCTCAACAAATAAACTAGAATTGGGTTTTCTCTTTTTCCTCTTAAGATATAAATAAGAGAATCGTTAGAAAAAAATCAGTTTTTCTTTTAAAACCAAAGGCTAACGAGATTATATTTATTCATTTACTTTATTTTTCAATAACAATTCTTCACCTGACCTTCGAAAATAATAATGAGATCAGTGTGAATAATATCTTCAAGTAAAAAAGAAAATTACAACCTGTTTCAAAATAGGTTATCAAATTTGAAAGAAAAGGTGAGGGAGAAAGAAGGCGACTAATAACGACTTACCACATTAAAGAAAATGAATGATTTCAAATAACCCCGAGAAACTGTTATTTATTACTAAATACATACAGTAATTGTGAAACAAGAGCCAAAGTAGAGAAATGGGTTGAGGCTAGTCAATACTAACTATCCTATACCGAGCTCATCAGATTCATGATCCATTCATACATTACAGTTTTAATCGTTCTCCATAAGAATCTATCCATCACTATTCACTCCTATATACACCAAAATAGCTCCCACACACAGGGAACCTTCAATACAATATTTATATGTATAAATAGAAAATGTGGTACAAGGCCAAAAGGGGAATGGGAAATGAGACGGTCTTCATCTGTCTTAAATTTAAACTTAGCTAGCCACAAACACTGACTCAAGACAATAATATTCCTTATACCAAAACAACGGATTCATGCTTACCTTTCTTACTACAGCCACCGTAATACCGCATTGTCTCTATGAAAGTCCTAACTAGACCCCATATGTACAAATAATTGTCCATTGGGAAGTTGAATAAAACAAATTTAAAATTTGCACCAATGATTATTTACAAAGATATACAAAACTATTTACAAGAAGCAAAACAAAACTAATGTTAGTAACAAAACCCCCCCCCACAGTCACTGACTGTGGGGACTTTGACATAAGTGAACTGGACGAAATTAATACGGGACTTTAATAATATAAAAACATTCATTCATCCAATCACTCACTCAAACATGCACTTATTCAGACACAACAACAAATACGAAAAAAACACACCCGAAACAAAAGGCATCCCGCACCCACCAGAGAACTGACGTCACTGAACACCTAACAGGGGAGGGGAGGGCGATCATATTGAATAGATATTTTGTGTAATTTTGGTAAACATATCAGTTAATACTAGATTTAGAAGACAATTTATCAATCGCACCCGGTATATATCAGTAAAATCAAAAAGCTGATCGTAAGACTTCTACTTTTTGATACGAATAATGTAGGCACAGTTTCCACATATTTCAGAATATTGTCCATTTTTTTCAAGCTAGTTAACATTGCACAGTGAACAAATGAGTACGTACTTCCCCATATTCATATATATATATATATATATATATATATATATATATATATATATATATATGTACAAAAAAAAAAAAAGCCTGAAATAATGGGTTTGCCCAAAGTTTGCGATTGGTTTATTTGGAAGAGGTTTTTGTTCCAAAGCTCTCTTTGGTTTGAGTGGATAGGAAGTCACAAGATATCTTGACGGGGGTTTTGGGCATACCAGCGTTGTCCAAATTGCTGATAATTGCTGAGTGTTCAGTCTCTTCCCAGAGGAGACCGAATTTACTTGGGAAAATAAAAGTTATTTGAAAGAAAATGTTGGTATTTTTCTTAATCAATTTTCTACGGTTACCAAG